TTAATTTCTAATTGGTGCTCGAGAGAGTGGGTTAGAAATACATTAGAATTCTTGCTTTTAAATATGGGAAAATTAATTGGAATAATTTGACTTCGTTGAATCATAATTGAAAGTTAGGTGAAATCAATCCCTAGACCTTCTCATTTGATAATTTGTATTCCCCAAATTTGTCACATCCAATCACGTTAGTTTAGTTTAGTTTAAATCGTTCGTTCATAAAACATCAATTCAATCATACATTCATCTAAATAAAGTAGAAATTGCATAATTATAGTACTTAGTGAAAATTAAATACAATCCCTGTGGGTTCGACACTCTTACTTCAATACTATATTACAAAACTTGACACCGTACACTTGTGGTTAAACCACGTTGCATAAAACGCGTGGCAAGGATAAAGTCGTGTTGGAATAAATGAATGAGAGTAATTCCATTCCATAAATTCCTGGAATACAGCCTGGGACAGACATCCCATGATATCAAATTTATCTGGACAACATGATCTGAGTGGAAAAGATGAATCGCATTTGATCCAATAGATCAATAGAAGTTGAATGGTCAGCATTGATGAAAATATTACATTTTGAATGACGCCACAGTCCAAGATCAATCGTCCTTTAGACAATCAAATGATTATCAATTCACCTTCAAGATACTTGTTGAGTGGAAAATCCAATCTTGTGATCTCCATGGTACAAGTTGATGATCTGACTTTATATAAGGAGATTATGGATGATGTGGATGCAGCGATCTATGGATCGAAGTAGATATCAAGATCTTGGAATAAGGGTTCGACAAAGTAATTGAGACATATGGTTTTAATCGAGACTTTGATGAACCCTATGTCTATAAGAATATACAAGGCAAAATTGTATTTTTTCTAGTGATTATATAGATGATATTCTACTAATGTAGGTGCATTATCGTCTTTGAAAGCGTGGTTGGCCCAACAACTTCATATGAAGGACTTAGTAAAGCTAGTTATGTTCTAGTTTTAAGATCTTGAGTGATCAAACGAACAAGATAATAACTTTGTCCCAAGTCTCATATGTTGACAAGATATTTTTCAAATTTCCAATGCAAGATCCTGCCCTAAGGCACGGAATTCAGCTCTCCAAGGATTAGTCCTCCAAGACTCCTAAAGAAATTGAGTACTTGAGTGGCATACCTTATGCGTTGGCAGTAGGTAGTCTTATGTATGCTAGGTTGTGCGATAGACCTGACATTTGTCATACTATTGGTGTGGTGAGTCGAAATCTATTTAACCTTAGGATTAAACATTGAATGGCAATAAAGCATATCTTTTAGTACCTCCGAAGAACCAGGAATTATATGCTCTTCGCTAGATCTTATTTTGATAGGTTAAAAGGATTCAAATTTCTAGAGTGATGAAGACCATCACCGGTCTAAATCAGTATCATTGTTTATATTTGATGGTGGGGCCATTATTTAGAGAAATCTTAAGCAATCATGCATTACTGATTCCACCATTGATACCAAGTATTTGGTACCTCATGAAACTACTAAATTACCCTTATGACTAGAAAATTCTAACGGACATCGAGGTGGTGTTTGCATCTGTACATGTCTTTATATTGTATTGGGATAACAATGAGATTGTGGCAAATGTTAAAGAACCAATAGTCATTAGAGAAATAAACACATTGAACGAAAATATCATCTCTTAATGGAGATAGTTGGTAGAGAAAATGTTGTTGTTAGTGAGATTACTATTGAGATAATCTTGTAACTTGTTTACTAAGAGCCTATTGGCTAAGGTTTTTGAGAGACATCTGCAAGATACGAGGTTGCACGACATGATATATACTCTAGGGCAAGTAGATTTTGAGCATGCGAATTAAAGTGCCTATAATCCCATGTAATAATATAAGTCGGGCTCTTGCTTTGAGAAGTACAATATGACACAACTTATATTTTGACATTAATAATTTGTTCACAACCAATCCAAAAGGGTTGGCACATTCTACTAGAAGGCTGTATTATTGACCGATTCACTATTCAGATTTGTTATTTGTCCTTATTACAGAATAGTTAAAGGTGACACTAGTACCTGGAGTATATAGAACGAACCACATGTCGAATTTAATTCTATAGCATGATCGTATGGAGAATAAAACTTTACTTGATCGTTGTGTGTTTCATCTAAATCCCTTGATATGGTTATGTATATCTTTTTGTGATCTTAATAGTTCTTTGATTTATCAATAGATGAGCTTAATTTGATTGGTCAAAAATCTCGATGAGTTGTAAGCTTGAGAATGAGCGAGTAGACAACATGAATTCATGTTAAAAATCGTCACGCTGAAAAATGGGTAGAGTGACTACTTAAGTATTTTCTGTTGAACGGTTAAAATCTGAGCTCAGTGTTTAGCGACGGTTAAATTTTGACATTTGTGATTAGTTTATTAGATCATTGGAGAAAATGATACTTAAGTTAGTGAGAATAATTAGAAGGGCAAAATGGTCATTTATGCTCATACTTAATTATTGGATCTCGAACAGGGATAAAATATGTATATGGCAGATCAGATGAAAGTATTACAGATTTATTGACTTTTGTGATCTTATATATTCCAAGAGTTCACTCTTTTTGTCTTTAGTGGAAAAAGTAAAGACTAATAATTAGATTGGGTGGTCTAGGGTTGACTAGATATGATCTAGTTATTGGAGTTTGGATAATATATGTTCGATTAGGTCCCTATGATAGCTCTATAAAATGTTGAAACTTAATTACAGTAATTATAATAGTTTTGGACTTAATTATAATTACAAAAAAGTTTTGTACTTTTATAATTATTATAAAAGTTGTAAGCTTAATTATAATTGTAATTGAAGTTCTAGAAATATACATTACTTAAATGTAAACTAATCGAATTTGCACTTTAATTAAAACTCCTACTTGAATTTTAATTAAAACTCTTATTTGAATGTTGAATTATTATTGTAAAAGGATTATAACTATTCTATCTCTATAAATAGAGATTAGAAGGAAACTAGACATCCTATGAAATTATACAAAAATCATAATATATAATTCCATAATATTCAAATTTGGAGAGAAAAAGAAAGAGGGAGAAAATAATTATTTTTTCATGTTATTCAATTGTCCAGTTCAAAAATTAGTTTTCTGATTTAATTAAAAGAAGGTGTCCATCCACCGGTATAATCTTAACTTTGAAGAATACCATAACATACTAGAAAGTTTGAGGTATCAAATTCTTAGAATTAAGAAGCTGAAAATTCGTGTTCCAAAAAGTTGAAAGTTCGTGATTCAGATTTAATTTAAGAATTGACTAGTAAAAATTCGAATTGTTTATTCTTGATATAACTTACACGTGAATATCTAGACGACTTGTTTTTATTAAATTAAATTTTTTTTTTATTTCTAGATAATTTGGCTTTTGCATTACAATAAATATTTCGTGGGTAGATATCCAGGAAATCATTATTACTTTGCCATCCAAATTTATGTTATCCATTTAGGTCCACATTTCTTCTCATTAAAAAAATTAATTTTCTTCAAATAATCATGATCAAATACACAAAAACGCATGACTTCAATTTTTGTGTTGCAGAACAACCACGATTGATCATGGACCATAGGACAAAAATCCTGACGTTAGTTGTCAAATACATATTACATTACAACGCGTTGGGGTTTGCATGCATAGTCTTTTAATCGCACATTTTTCAAACAATCATGTTTCATGAAATTTATTATCTAAAATATCTACATCAAAACATGCTCTTCAGCAAATCCATAGGGAAAGAGAAGAAGTTTCACTTTGAAAAGTCAAATCATTTTGAAAATTCCTCATTTACATAAAAATCAAACCAAGCAGAGAAAACAACATATTTGTAGTTTTAATCTGAAAAGTCAAATCGTTTTTGAAAATTCAAGTTCTACACGAAATCAAACCAGCCAAAGAAAACAACATATTTCAATCGAAATAGTTTAAAACATATGTGCAAATTCCTAGTATTTTGTACAAATTTATTGATGTGATTGACAAAAACTTAAGTTTTTGTGTTGTCAAATAATTGTTGCAATGTAATCAACCACATGTTGCATCCTCAAAAGACCAAAAGCCATGCACGACACAATTTGTATATATCATCATTCATGCCTTCACCAAACACCACTTCTACCTAGCCATGAGCTCACATCACAGTTATGCGTTACCAAAGTTTAAATGCAAATTTTTCCCATTGCATCATAATTGAGGGCAAAAAATTCTTTTGACCAAGTTAGGGGTGATGATAATCGGTAGATAGATGCTCAGGAAGTCATATTACTCTACAATCAAAGTTTATTTTATTCATTTAGGTCCCCACTTTTTTTTTGGTCAAAATATCAATTTTCTTCAAATAATCGGCATCAAACACACACATAAAAATGCATGACAACCACATAATTTATGCATACACCATAGGACAAAAATTTGAGTCATGACACTGCATGATACATTAGTTGTCAAATATATGGCAACAGTTGTCAAATGCATATTACACTGCAATGCTCGGGGGTTTGCATTCAACAAGAAATCATGTGGACTTCTTAATTATTCTTGACCTCTTCGTCAAGAGCGTCAAGAGGAGGAGACCATCAAGATCCACTAATTGGGTTGTTCCTATTCATTGAAAATACAAAATGTCAATACCTTTAATAAATGGAGATATTATATGTTACAACCCAAATTTTACTAGTCAAAAATCAAAAGTTGAATTGTCAAAGTCAAAGTCAAAAGGGACTAAAATGAAATAAATTAGTTTAATTGGGACTTAATTTATTATGACAAATATTTTGAAGGTTTAAGTTGCACAAGATAAAAAATTTGGGATCTACTTATATATTTTGGAAGTTTAGGATTTAATTTTACATTATATTAAAGAAGAGGAACTTCCTTTGCAATTTTGAGTAAGTGGTCCTTTATATTACTAAAATTCGACCCATTTTATAATTTAACACACATGCTGAGAACAGCAGAGAAGGAGAAAATGCAGAGAAGAAAGAAAAAACCAAGGGAAAAAGGGAAGAAAAGAGAAAGAAAGGAAGGAAAAAGAGAAGAAAATGGAAGAAGGAAGAAATTTTGTGCCAACTACTTCAAGCTTATTTCTTTAATTTTCTAGAGGTAAAGGTAAGATTTTATGGTATAGTTATGGCAAAAAATTTTAGGGTTCTAAGGAATTATGGGGTAATTTTCAGATTGAAGGAAGGAGCATGATTCCAAGCCAATCTTTTGATTTGTGAAAGATTTTTTGTGTCAGGGTAAGAAATACCAACTTCTAGCAAACCCTAGATTTTTAAATTGGATGATTGAGTAAAGAGTAATTGTGGAAATGATCATGTGATGGAATTATTCGCTTGAAAGAATGATTTTATGGAGCAAGATCTATATTAAATTGGTTGTATTGTGATTACTACTTTCACTAAATTGAAAGGGATAAATTATTTTGATGCTTCGGATTAAGGTTACTTTGAGAAATTAGTTATTAGAAAAGGAACTAGAAAGTATAATCAACTCCAATTGATTAAAGGAAAATTTGGGAATTTATTCAAGTATTGAGAAATTTAATTTAGGTATTATATTATTAGGGAAAAAAGGTTTCTTGTTTTAATAGTGGTTAAATTGGTTATTTTGTATCTTATTTCAAGTGGTAACAAGGAGATAGAAAAAGCCAACCGACCATTTTAGGCTATAACTTGACTTGTGAGTGGATAAAACTTATTTTTCAAAAATTAGTATCTATTAAATTTATATTAGATAAAAAAAAATTAAGTTGATTTGATAGCATGATTTTTCATAATAAAATGGAATTATAATCAGTTATTTTTAAAGTTAAATTCAGTTCAATTAAATAATTTGATTAGCATGTTATATGAATATAAATGTTTCTGTATAGCTAAAGTTATTTCTAAAAATCATCAGAAAGTATCCAGATGATTTTACCCTAATTTGCATTGGTGCGAATGTGTTTCCAAGGTCTATGACTAATTATGGTTATTTTACTGCTCTGCACTATTGAAAATGTGTTTTCATAGTGTATGACCAGATTATCATAATCTTTGGGACCTACTCTCGTACACACATAGGCTTTGGGCCATGTAGTAGGGTGATTAGCCTTTGGGGCAGCTCTGCGTACGTTTGACCAGATTATTAGATGTGAATCATTTTGCCTTGTACATCGAGATTACTCTGTACATAAGTAAGGCTATTCATTGGGCACCTTTTTTGTGTGAGTTTCAATATTATATAGTTTATCAGGTTTCAGACTACAGAAATTAGCTTATTCAGTTTCTAGAGTAATGATTTCAGTTTATAGTACTGTGAAATGATATTTTCACTTATATTTACTATTATCAGACTATTTATATTCATTATACCTTACAATTGTTTATCTAGAATTAAGAACAAAGAATTTTATGATGAAATCATGTTTAGTTTTAAAAGAGTTACTAAATTTCAGAATTTCTCAAAGTCTTATTATAGCAAGAATCTTCAGTAGATAGGCATAAATGGATAAGTTATACTCATTTGCAAATTATCCACTCATTGAGCTAAGAGCTCGTATATTTTGTAATTCTTTTTTTTTTTTTTCTAGATAGTAGCTGAATTAAGCAACGATGGAGCCTATTGATCTGCCAAGTTGAGTCAAGCATTATCATTAGTTGTATAACTCTTTTATATATATATATATATATATATATATATTTTTTATGTAGTTCATTTATTGGAATACATGCATCTCTTGTCGAAAAGCATATCCATATCATGGTTGCACTGCATTTTTGTAAATGTTGTACAATTTGGAGTCTTTTGGATTGTTAAGAAGTATAGATTTCATTCATGTGCACTTTATACCGAATGGTTTATATTTGAAGGGGCTAGTTTACCCGATTTCAAATTACATGTACATGTTCGAAAATTTTTATTTTATTTCAGGTGGTTTTAGTCTATATTTTCGAGAAAACTCTGTCAAAATTACCTTGGTGATGGGTCCGACATTTAGCTGGTATCTACCATTGGCGCATGACACGTGTCGGATCTACTAGGATGATTCGGACGGGTCGTGTCAATTGGTATCAGAGCATGGTTTATAAAGTTTTCATAGTTCATACATTGGCATATTATGCATATTCAGTGTGTATGGTCACATGTCGTGGCGGCAAAATTCACAGGCTCTCAAGCTCTTGCTACTAGAATGTTTGGAACCTAAAATGGTGGAAGAATACTTTTAACATATTAAAAAATGAATAGTATGTAGGTATGTCATTTGTAATGATCTGATGGTTGAAATTGTTGTTAGTCATTGGGTTGGAATTGTGGTTTATATAGCGTATTAAGAGTTGAACATATTGTTAGTTTAAAACTGAAAGTTTTGATGGTTTTGTAGGTTAATTACTTATAGGCATTCGAAGTGATAGATGGTATGGTCACTTAAGTATCAATTTATATGTTGAATTACATGAATTTTTAATGCATACATAGAAAAATCTCTAGTTATAGTTGGCATGATAAATAAAAAGGAATAATATTATCTATGTAATTGGTGACAATCAACGAGGAATTTTGATTGACTTGGGAAGCCAAATGGTCATTAGTGTTATCAAAATTTTGTGGTAATTTGTGGTCACTTATATGAGATGATAATAGAAATCACGATGGTGTATATTATGGTATATGATGAGAAATTGTGGAAGACAAAGTGATGATTTATTGATGCATAGATAACAATGTGTTATTGTATACGTTAGGCTTCGATGGAATTAACGTTTAAGTGATTCCAATTTTTTTTTTCAATTATTTATGAGTTGTTTGATTATACTAAGGAATATAAGAAAAATATGGTTAGACTTCATAATTATTACTTATTATGAGGTAATTTGTTGCTTAAGAAATAGAATTAAATGGTTATGTGCATTCAGGTATGTTTATGTGAATCGAAAAAAAAAGAACACTTCATTTCTAGAGTAAAGAAAGGATAAGTGATATAGAATCAGAAATAAGGAAGTATTAAAAAATTGAATAGGTCCAATTGAATTTTGTGGAAAACTTTGCAACTAAATGAGTGGTTAGCTTTTGTTATATATGTGTACAAGGTAGATGGGAGTTAGGCCACTTGAATTGAAGAATAAGAAAGTAAATGGTAAAAAGATATATATTAATATTTATTAAGATTGTGAATTAGGTATATAGTCTTATCAATAATTGTTCATCTGATAAGGGTTTGATGATATGTATTCAATGAAGGCCAACAAGATAGATGTGATGAACTATTTTGTGCAACTTACAGGAGTTGATATGATTTAAAGTTTAAGGCCATATGTACGATGACGTTCATGTAACAAGGTTATATGATGGTGAGAAGGCCTGAGAGATAGTTGGAAAAAAAAGAAGAAGAAGAAGATATGATTGGTATTATGCCATAAGAATGTGATGATATATTTTAGTTACAGTGGGAGTTTTATGTTATTCCATTTTGATTACTATCTTGACACATATAATTTGGATCTCCTGAATAGATTATTTTCATTTGTATTATAACAAGTGGATAAGAAAATTATGGACTACATGTCAATGTATTTTAGAGCCTCGAAGGGTCAAAGAAATTGGATTTGATTGCATTTTTAGCAGTGTTATTTAAACACAGGCTTCTTGTGGATACATGAAGTTAGTAGGAATATGTCCCTATGTTATATTACCAGGAAGATGGAATTTTAGTTAAGGTGAACAATTGAGTTGGTCGAGGTAATGCCATTAAAAAAATAAGTAGTAGTAAAAATAAACACTGGTATTGTATTTTATTTATTTAAGAAATTAGTGTGTAATTGAGTATTCCAAGGAGTGAATAGAAATAAAAGACAAAGTGGGACAGAGCAAGGTTTATTAGCAAGATAATGTGACTATATAATTGGGTTATTTTTCAATTGTATTTTTGGATACCAAGAATAAAGTATTCCATTCTTATCGAAATCTATTCAATATGGAATATATGGATGATGTGTTTGGTAGTCTAGAGTCTAAGATGATCATTAAATATAAATTTTAGTCGATTGTGGAATGGTATCCTTATGTCACATTATCTTAATTAAAGGTCTTTATGTAATATACAAGAAGGTTTATGCATTGGTAATAAGTTAATGGCCTCTTTATAGAATAAGAGTATAGAATTATCATGGACTAAATGTTATTGTCCCTTCGGACTTTGGCAAAGACGTAATGAAGTCCGTTGAGACACTGTCCCAAGGCCTCTCTTGAATTGGAAGTAGAAAGGAAGAGCACCAAAATTGTGTGGATTTAGATGTGTAAAGGTTTTTGTAAATTGATTAAATTTTGTTGAAATACTTACTCTTGTATCTAAAGCTAATGAGGGGTTGACTTATGATAATGAATTATGTTAAGGTTTAGAAAGTTTCTTGAAGTAAAATGATGAATTATGGATTAGACTGTAGATTGTTGAAAATGCTTGATTAAAATATGATTTAGAGTTGGTTATATTGGGGTTGAATTTAGAAATTTTTATGATATCAAATTGTGAGAAACATTGATACTTATCTATTATCGAAATTTAAGGTATATTTTTATTTTAAATGATGGAAGTTGAAGTTGTGTATATATTATCATTCAGTGACATAGAATTAAAGGAAAAGAAAATCATATTGAACAATCTCAATTGTTGTTGGGGATAATTGGAATTTTAGAGAATCATAAATAATTGAATTTTTGCAGATATTGTCAATTTAGAATTGGAGTAGTTACCCACAAACATTTTTCGATTTGAGTTCGAAGTACACAGAATGAAGACAAAATGGTATTTGGATCATTGTTGATAGATCAATAAAGGTTACAAGATTCTTTTCAAATGAAATATAGTCAGGTCATGAAACAGATTTATAAAATCATAATTTAGATAAGATTATTATTTATATAGTGGAGCTTGAGTATTGTCTTTGGCTTAGTTGTAGGGAGTTATATAACTCAATTACTTTATGTAGTTTCTTTTATAGAATGTCAGACACTATGAAGCAAGTTCAGAAGAGAGGCTATCAGCTATGGTTTCTTAATTAAAGGGAACTTGGATAATCATTTATTTTTCATGGACGTGATTTATAAGAAATAGATACAAGTGACAATAATTGATGTTATATACGATATTAGCATATTTCAAAGACTTGTTTATTGGGATGAAAGATGCAAAAAATGTTATCAAGTCAATTACTACAAAGAAAGACTTTGATAAGAGAATAGTTTAAATCATGACATAAGATAAAGATTTGGAGAATTATTGCAGGATCTTAGAGTGTGGAGGATTATTGCAAGGAGATGGAAATTGCCATGATTAGAGCAAATATTGAGGAGGATCGAAAGGCCACCATGGCTCAATTTTTGTATAGATTGAACATGGAGATAGCTATTGTGGTAGAATTACAACATTTTATAGAGTTGGAGGATATGCTACATGTAGCTATGAAGGTGGAGGGGCAATTGAAGATGAATGAGGCAGCTAGATGTCCATCGGGTTCTTCAGGTTCTAACCCTTCTCAAAAATAGAAGCGACATGATAATAGAGGTAATGAGACTGTTTCGAGTAGTAAGGCTGGACCACAAAGGAGAAATAAGAAAGTTGCTAGCGAAATTACACCCACAATAAATTCTGAACCTTCTAGGAATCAGAATATCAAATGCTTTAGGTGTTTGAGATCGGAGCAAATTGCTTCTCAATGTCCAAACTAAAGGAAAATGATTTTGCATAACAATGGGGAGGTGGTGAGTGATGGTGATGATATGCCCCTATTAGAGGATGCTAGTGAGTAGTGATGATGATGGAGTAAAGTGCCCGTTAGGAAGTGAGTTACTTATGGTGATGTATGCTCTCAATACACAAATTAAATATAATGATGTAGAGCGGCGATGGAAGAACATCTTTCATACTTTATGCCATGTCTAAAAAGTATGTAATTTCATTATTGATGGGGCAGTTATATTAATATTGATAGTACTATACTTGTTGAGAAATTAGGATTGACTATGATAAAACATCCTAAACCTTATTAATTGTCGTGGTTAGATGAATATGGAGAGGTTAGGGTAAGTAGGCAAGTTTTTGGTGAATTTCTCGATTGAGAGGTATAATGATGATGTGATGTGTGATGTAGTTATAGGTATGCTAGACCTATTTTATTGGGAAGGTCATGGTAGTATAATTGGAAGGTAAATCATGATGGATTCAAGAATAGGTAAAAGATGAGAGGACTATTACTCTTGTACCATTAACACTACAAAATGTCTACGAGGACCAATTGAAATTGAGATGTGAGGAAGAAAAGAAAAATAAAGAGAGGCGGAGGGAGAGTAGGAGAAAAGATAGTAAGGTGGTTAATTGTGAAAAAAAAGAGCAGATCCACAAGAGAGAAAAGAAAGAGAATCTTCTGAGACGAGAGAAAAATCAAAAGTGAGTTTCTATGTAAGAACGAGCAAGATTGAGAGTGCTTTAGTGAGAACTAACAAACACATCTCCAATTTGGATATTTCTTTATTACAGGAATTCAAAGACTTATTCTATGAAGACTTAATTAGTTGAATACCACCCATTGAACATCCAATTGATTCGATGCAAGTGAAGAATTTGATGAGCATTGAAGGAGAAGCATTCAACTATGATATGATAAAGTATCAATACCCCATACACAGGTTAGATAATGATTTAGTATGTAGGAATAGTTTTTCACACGAGACATGTACTTTTACACATATTGGTGTATCTAATATTTCTATGAGAGTAATAAATCATTTGTTTCATACATTCGTAGGTAATCATTTGCTAGTTGATGATAATCTAGTATGTTGCAAGAAATTAATTGAGCATCATAGACAATTGGTGTTATATACATTCGTAGGTAATCATTTGCTAGTTTATGATAATCTAGTATGTTGCAAGAAATTAATTGAGCATGATAGACAATTGGGGTGCATTGTTGGTAATTTGAGGCAAGAGAATCTATATTTAAATCTTGAAGTCCTTAACTATTTTGGTTCGAATTTATGAAATAGGTTGGGAACTAATTTAATATCCTCAACGACTTCTATTACACATTTTGATATGGTTTATAGCTTAAAGTCGCTAAATTTGTTTGGTTTAATTCCTTTAACTATTATTCTAAGTGGTAGTTTAGATAGATAGTAGGGGATTAAATTATATGCATCTCAAGGTAGCAAAAGGAAGAGGTGTAAAGTATTCGAACTTGGTGATTGGGTTTGGTTTCTTAGGCAAAAATGGCGTGTTCGAATGCATAGAAGCTCAAGGTTTTGTCCTAGAGGAGATGGACCATTATACATATTGCAAGGATTGAAAACAATGGCTACATCTTGGATCTTCAAAGTAAATTTGTGATAATTTGCATTTTTTCGATCTTTCTTATCTTGCTCTGTCTGATGCAGGTATAGGTTCGAGGTTGAATCCTTCCAAAGAGGGAGGGAATGATGGGATCCAAGAAGGCAACAAGCTATCAAGGTTCGATATATGTTGAGGAGAGGCTAAAGGCATGTTCAAGATCAAATAGAGTCAATGAAGCCATACAGTTATTTATTTGAGCTATCAAGTCCAACAGGGTAAAGTTAACAAGTCGAAGGCCAAGTTTCATTTTGGGCATGCGAGCGGAAAACAAATTGGGATGCATTGAAATCAAGAATTTAAACTTGGAAGCAAGAAGGACTACTATGCGACCGTATAGCACAAACTAGGGTACGATTTCATGTCCCAGTACAGAGAGCAAAGATACCATTTTGGATGAACTATGCGACCGCATGTCCATACATTATACAGTCTCATAGCACAAATCTAGGGCGAATTTTCCAATTTTTGGAAAGAATCCTGGTTTTGTTAAAATTTAGACTATTAATTTCATTTTTAATTGGGTTTTTATGGTTTCCTATAAATAGGACTCAATTCTTTTCATTGTAAAAAAAATATAATTTGAGAGATATTATTGCAAAGCATATTGCTTTCAACTCGTTCTTCATCTAACTAATTTCGAACTTATCAAGAATTGAATTCTTGGTGGCGTTCAACAATTCAAGTTATGTTCGTAAATTTTGTGATCATGGTGTCAAGATATTGTTGGTGATTGTCTTGGTTCAATAATTTATTGGGTCTAGCTTTCTAAACCATGTATTTGACGTTCTTGGTTTGATTTAATCCGTTGTCTTCGTAGCTACAATTGCTACGTGGGTGCGCATTAGAAGATATTCAAATTGAGATGGGACAAGTGAATGTAAAGACGGAAGGGATATTAATTTTTAGGAAATAAATAATATTCAAGTTGGCAATCTAATAATTGGGGTGAAGATATGAAATCCAATCTAACGGTTAGATGAGAGATGAAATTTTATTTTAGAATCCAAAGGTTAAAATTAGAATTAAGAATATGGTCCAATGATTACAAGGAGATGAAAATCCTATATCATTGGGTTTTTTATTTTATTTTATTTTTTTAATGATATTTCAAAAATTTTAGCTCAATTTGTTCATAAAGAAACAGACATATTAGATTAATTTAAATTGTTTATGAGCAAAAACAAAATTTAACATGAAAAATATATTTGTAATTTACGTCATTCCTTTGGAGAAGAATTTGGTTTTAAGTCTATGGTATAAATGAGAATACAAAAGTGATTTTAGAGATATCAATTTACCTCAACTTTAAACCACCATTCAGGATACTCTTACAAATTCAATTAGAAGACCAATGATAATGATAAGAGTAAATTACAAGGAAGTATGTATTTTAGGATTGCATTTCATTAATCAGATTTTCAGTTTATTATTCAAAAATTGGGTGATAATTATTCATTTATATTTATTAATAAATTAATCACTAACTACTTTCTATCTCTACACACTCAATCTCTCATCTCTCTCCAAACGTAATTTTACCCTTTCATAGAGACAAGATAAAACCAAAAAATATATATATATATATATATATATATAGAGAGAGAGAGAGAGAGAGAGAGAGAGAGAGAGAGAGAGAGAGAGAGAGAATTGTTTGCTTGCTCTCTGTTCTTTGTGTCAAACTGTGTTTGCAAAATGAACTGCATTTACATATACATATTATATATACACATAAATATAAATTGATGCAAAATATTTTTCGTGTTTTTGTTAATATACAGCGGATCATGAAACCCTAATGGAGAAATATCCAATTATCTTGAATAACTTGTTGAAGAAAGCACTCGTTCAATCCAACTCATTCACATTTCATCGATGGTTTTCGCGATTTGAAGTTGTCTATTATATCGTCATGTTGAAACGATGGCGTTTTGGTAGAAATGTTGCTGTCGCGGTGGCACCAAATTTCAACGATGAGAATCAAAGTTATTTACTCCAGCTCTCTGTAGATTCTCTCTTTGTTCTTTCTTCTAATACACTGTGTCGATAACTTCTAATTTGTGACCTCAATCGTCTAATGAGCTTCAATTAACCAAATTTCAACGATGAGAATCGAAATTATTTGCTCTGACTAGTTCTCTACAGATTCTATCTTTATTCAATTTCCTATAGCTAGTCCGATGATTTTCAAACAATTAGAATTTGACAATGATAATGGAGAATATTTGATTCGGAACGGTCTCTGTGGCTCTTCTACTTTGTTTGATCTTTATGATTTGTTATTTTGGAGAGTCTCGTTTAGACTGGTAACTGAGAAAGCGTTATTTTATAATTTATAATCATTATAATTTATTTTACACATAATATTTTACTAATTATCACCTCAGTTTTGAGCCTTTAGAGTTTGTTTCAAAAATGAAATGGAGTATGGTAAATGTAACACCACCAAATCTAAATACTAGATTTGGAAGTATTATCATTTCATTTTCTTTCAAAATTATAAATGCGAAAAAACAGTTAGATTTTTTTCTATAACACAATAAACATCAATGACTTTATTACTTAAAATAATTTATACTTGACAAGAAAATTTGTTCTTAATAAAATATATGACAATTAACACTTGTCTTTTATTTTAAAATGAAATAAATAATTAAATTATATTAGTACTGAGTCCGTCTCACCATAAGTCATCATCTCGAATTATCTTGCTTTCATTATCTGAAAATGGGGAGGGATAATATGGAATGAGTTAATGCTCAGTAAGCAAACCTCATGCTTATGATATACATGTGAGTTACTTTGAAATAAAAAGTATTTCTTAATATGTATTCCCTTTTTCATTCATTTATTTGAAAACCTTAATATTGACATCTTGAGCTCACTTAATGTATCGTCTAACCAATCAGAATGCAATGGACAATTATTATTTGGAACGCCTTTGAGTTCGATCGATAGTACCACAAAGCGATTAACATTAACATTAACATTATCATTATCATTATCATTGAAAATTGGTCGGGTACGCCGGTCCCCTACACCCCATTTTCCATTCACACTTTTCATGACATAGAAATACATCTCATAATAAAAACATTCGAAATACATATCTTTTTATAACATTCCTTAATGCATTACGTTTGAAAACTTTTTGTTACTTAAAACTTTATGAATGCTTATGAATGCATTGACGTGCATGAACTTGTTATGAGAAATATTACTAACATAAAACGTGATAATTAAATACTAAGATCACATAATAACAAATTTAAATAGCACCTTTCTACATTTAATAATGTAATGTGCGCATGAAGACAATGGTAGATTTACTTACTTCGGATTCTTAACAATTTACATTTTTAAATAGCAAGTAGAGAAGTCCTTGATTGCCACGCGGTTAAAATGCCAACTATCTTAGATCATTATCATTCATTTTAAGAATCGAACAATATTTATAGTCTATAAGTGAAACCATATCGTTATTCTATTAAGATAAAATAATTGTAGCCTAGAGTGTAAATATATGGTGTCCCTAATTACATTGAAATTTAAAAGTGAGATTTTTCATTAAAGGGCACTATCAACTTAAATAGGTGCCGACGAATTCAAGAAGAATCTCTTTTTCTATATAATTAATGAATGATCAATGGGGACAAAAAGACACTCATGGAGGAGTAAGACATGCATTACACAGGACTAAATATAAAAATATGTAGATTAATCATTTTCAGAACAATTTTAGTGATGACCAGACATTAAACAAAGAGACAAACTGATTTTCCTTGCTAAAATTAACAGAAGCAATAAACTTATGAATTCCAAGAGCCAAAGTAGAAATTAATTATATGCTACACTAATTAGAAGGTTGGCGTAAAGAACAACGAGGTGAACAAGTGAATTAATAATGAAAGGAAAAGTACACTTCATTTTATTCACACATATAGCTATTAACTGACAAATTAATATATAAGTAAGTATACAATCTCCATCCAGTTAACTTTAAATTTGAGGGAATGAATTCCCCAAATTTTTTATTATACAAATGATTAAGTGGGCAGGCAAAAAGAGGTCAATCGACAAAACAATAGGAAATTATAATAGTGGGTTCATAGTTCAAAAGTTCACCAAATGATTGCAAATCAATATAATAATTTAGTTATCAAAGACAGTAGAAAACTGGAATTGTTCCTAAATGGAGTGAGAAAGACAGGCTTTGATTCTCTTTATTGCAAAATCAGAGCCCTTCCACTTGTCATGAGACACAACGCCTTATGAGCCAGATCCTAATTCTCGGATTTCTTTCAGATCTTCATTTTTTATTGACTACATGGAATAATATAGTAACAATTAATTATAGCACTCAAGCTGAAAAACAAAAATTCTTATACATGTGTGTGTACGTGTGTCTATTGGAACCTGCAATCCTCAGCCAATTGCTTCTGCCTCAGCTTTGGTTGGCTCTATCTTAGAAATGTTAATGATAATTTTGCAACAAGAGAGCTGAAGAAGACAGTAAAAAAGGAGGGAAAAATTCTGTATTCTAAGTCAATGAAAATGGCGTGATACATTGGGTATTTATAGACAGTGCAGTTACTAGAGTGTACAAAAAGACTAAAATAACCCTGTACAAATTACAAATTTATCTTAATACACCCCCTCAAGATGGAGTATGAATATTCAATGCTCCTATCTTGTTTAGCAGCAGCTGGAGTCGTGTTCCACTTAATGATTTGGTTAGCAAGTTAGCCAATTGATCATGTGATGCTGTATAGATCATTTTTACTTCTCCCGCTTGAACTTTATCCCTTACCAAATGACAATCGATCTCTATGTGTTTCGTGCGCTCATGAAACACAGGATTATTAGCAATGCGTATGGCGGATTGATTATCACAAAACAATAGTGCTGTCTGATTATGTCCAACACCCAAATCACAAAGAATGTTCTTCAACCAACTTAATTCACAAACCGCAGCTGCCATTGATCGATATTCTGCTTCAACTGAGGACCTCGAGACCGTGTGTTGCTTTTTGGATTTCCAAGATACAAGTGAGTTCCCCAGAAAAATGCAATAACCGGTTATGGATCTTCTAGTGTCTGAGCAAGCTGCCCAATCAGCATCGCAAAAGCCTTTAAGATGCAAATCGAGGTTTGCTTCAAAGAATAGGCCCTGACCTGTTGTGCCCTTTATGTACCTCAACACATGGTGAGCTGCTGCCAAATGTGGCTGCTTTGGAGATTGGAGGAACTGACTAAGCAGCGGCACCGCATACGATAAGTCAAGTCTTGTAATTGTTAAGTATAGAAGTCTACCTACTAGTCTTCTATATACACTGGCATCTATGAGTGCTTTGCCTTCATTCATACTTAGCTTCAAATTGTGTGGTAAAGGGCTGTTTGCTGGTTTGACCCCAATATATCCAGCATCTGTTAAAATTTCCAATGCATATTTACGTTGGCAGACTGATATCCCCTTCGAAGATCTGGCAATTTCAAGTCCTAGAAAATATTTCAGAATTCCTAGG